CTGGGCAGTGCTAATCAAATATGAATCATACAATAGTATGTAAATATAGAATATAAAAGATGGTTAAATATCTTACAATAGAAAACTATAAGGACTGTTAGGCCCACTACAAAAATACGTCTATTAATATTATGAATATATTGACCGACATGAGAATAATCGGAAACATGTCACAAGTTGAAGCGAAAACCCAGATAGCTTGTTGCCCTCTGCTGCAAAAGTACACAAGATTAAAAGAAAACACAATTCCTCAATTCACTTTCAGTTCAGGAAGTTGTTCATTTAAGCCTGAAATTGATTGATGTGTTGATCAGAAGTTGTGATATTTATTAGAAAACTATTTACAGAATTGATCTTCAGAGGAATGTCTTTGATAACAAGATTTTTAAAATAGTATATCATCACCTGAAAATAAGAATTGTTGTGTTTTGTTACCTTGAATGAAGAATGAGACGGAAGCGGGTCCTCTTCTACAGAGTCTGACATTTTTCTACAGTAGCCCAGAGCGGACAAACCAAACACAGGCTCTAGATAGGGTCATTTCTTGGCCATTAGTTTTTCCTTTAAGTCATGTGTGCTTTAACATATTTTTCTTTTACTAATAAAACAGTAAATTCTGACATAAAAGCATTTTATGAATGTGAAGGTTCATATTGGACCTCAACAAGCATCATGAACTGTAACTCATGTCGTTTCTCCGCTGACAGACATCGAGGAATATTCTCAGGAGCAGCTTTGCAAGGTACAAACTCATCAACACATTCACATTTCATCAAACGTATGAAACAAACACTTAATGAAACACACATTAGGTGTTGAGGATGATTGTGCTCCTCAACGTGACATCAGTGATTCACATATTTTTACAAAAAATAGCTTTAATTTACCAAAAGGCATACCACAGTGTTTTAGGCTAATGAAGGTAGTTTGAAGTGAGTTGTGACATCTTGTTGATATAATATTAACCAGATTTATCCCTCTCTACCACTGTTTGATATTTTGTTATTACATTAATGCTGCTGAATGATATGACTTGTAAGACAGTTATCATGTATTGTTTAATTATGTTTACTTAGAATACAATTAAATTCCATGAAATGTAAAGTTTTTCTCTTTTTTCCAGGATTTAATCACATTTATGGACAAAATGGTGAGTAATGACACATTATACACACTCCAATCTCAGTGTCTCACTAATTACGGTTCAATTAAATGATGACAATTAACTTTCAGAGAGTTGAAAGCGGCTTTATTTGTTGTCCGTGTGATAACCCACACATATATAAAATGTCTTCTCTGTGTCACTTTTCCAGTCGATACCGCAGGTCACCCTGGTGGGTCACGACTGGGGTGGCTTTCTGGTGTGGACCATGGCTCAGTTTTACCCTGAGAGAGTCAGGTGAACACACATGCAGATTCAGTGACACATCACAGTACTTTGTACTGTAGTAAAATGTGTTATTTCTTGTGTGTGAAGGGCTGTAGCATCTCTGAACACTCCTCTGTTCCCTGCCGATCCCTCAGTCCATCCTGAAGAGAAACTGAAGGCCATTCCCATATTTGATTACCAGCTCTACTTCCAAAAACCTGTAAGTCTGTCTGCAGCATGCTAACACGCTAACACAGGTGATACAACAAAGTGATGGCTTTATATTGGTTACAGTCTACACATTATATCAGCCAGCCGACGAGAACTCTTTATTCCATTAGGATAAGATTTTACATACTAATAGTCTACTATCCCCTTCCATCAGAGACAAAATGGTTCACAGTCATCTGCCACCAGCAGAGAAAAGAAATGGATACAAAGACCCATATATACGCACATATAAATGTATGAATGCCACATTTGTGTTTGCCAACGCGCTCTTCATATCAGCTTTATAAAATATGTCAGTATTGTGTTCTGCTGCCCCCAAGTGGCCAAAAAAGACTCCTTATAGCTGTAGTGGAGGAAGTACTACTGGGCACATAAAGTAGATATAGATAGAGAAATAAGACATGTCAATATAAAATATGGAAGAAATATGAATACTATACCACAATAATGAAGTAGCACACTTTCATCTTTCATTTCAACTGTGGAGATTCTGGTCCATGCAACCACTCTCCAATACTTAAGACTACTTGTTTCCAGACAGGAGAAACAAACCAGCAGTCCTGTCCCACAATAAAAGAAGATAGGTTCCTGCTTCCTTCCTCAGATCTTTTACTTAAATGTACAGAATGTAATTTCTTAGCATAAAGACTGGAAGCAGGGGGAAATCGTTAGCCAGGGTCTGTCTAAAGTTCAGAATACCAACACCTTTAAAGTTCACTAACAAACATGTTCTATCTAGTTTATTTATTCTGAACACAAACAGAAATGTAAAAAAGGATCATACTTATAATATGTTGAACTATTTCTTGTTTCTCTGTGCAGATGACAATAAAGCTTTGAATCTGTGTGTGTGTGTGTGTGTGTGTGTGTGTGTGTGTTTCAGGGGGTAGCAGAGGCCGAGTTGGAGAAAGACCTGGAGAGAGCGTTCAAGATTTTCTTTTTCAGCAGTGCTGAAGCAGTGAGGACACACACACACAC